TTCAGCAAAATTTCAACAAAAGTAGAAGGTAGGATGAATAGTATTTATTGGTGGAGCTTAAATTGTTCTGCAAGTTAGGCAATTTCTGTGGATTTGAACTAGTTTTCCAGGGTATATTTATTTGATTGAGCTAAATAAACCGTTAATCCATTTTAAATATTTTAAAAAGGGAAACTACGCAGCGTAAAATGGCATACACGTAAATCTCACAGACATTTGATGAGATGAGATTTGGCCCTAATCTCCGATAGAATCATTTCATTGGTAGCAAAATTGTCCTCAACGTAAATTTGGAATTCCACATGCAGACAATTTCTCAGCGAAGTATGCGGGAGGCACTGCTCCAACTTGCCGGTGAAAATTCGTTCAAGTAGAGAAAACGAACCATTAAGAAAATCTCAAATACACCATAGACATAAATTGATTGCAACAAAGTGGATAATTTGGCGAATAAAGGAAGTAAACAAAATTCCACTGAACTATGAGTTGTGACATAGAGAAGATGATCTAGTAAAATAAACTTGTGAACAAAATGGGCGCAACTTTAACGCCATAAACAGCCTTTTAATTAGCTTAAACTGCCTAGTTTAGTGCTTTTAAAAAATGGGGTAAAGCTGTTCCATTAAATTTTACTAGAAATTTGTATTGCGCATTTCCTTTTGAGTATGTTTAGCTTCTGGTCGTTCATGTTCATGCCGTGCATCTATGTTAACCAGCAAGTCACTTGCCCTGCAAGTTGAAAGCGGCAGTTGGCAACGGTTCCAAAACACATCACTAAATCATACCGAAGGGGAAGTTTAACTCTCTGCAAGCGAAAAGGATGTCAGAGACACAAGATTATATCTACATATAAAGGCAGTACTAACATAGCGTTTACCTCAGCAAGCTCTCCATCAGCATGGGCAAAATGCAAGAAATAGCTGTGATTATTTGACAGGCAAAGAGGTTAGGGAAGACCCTAACAATAATATAAATTTAGCGTCAAAATTTGAACGGCCAAAAGAATGTTTAAAAAGAGACTTTTATGGTATGACTCAAACGGAACCAGAAGTTACAAAAAAGGTAGCAGAATATGGTTTCATACTAGTGTTTTAAAATAACCAGGGGAAATAACACATAATCCTCTACAGTTTCTTTCACAAAAATTTTGTTATACGATGAAAAATGAGAGGCTGGACGGAATTTATAACAACAAAAGTAGCAGTTTAGTTTAGGTAAGCAGTCTGTTCAAACTAGAAGTAGCAGGCTGTTTACATCTTACAAGTGGATTTTTTGCGTGCAAAATAATAGGCTTGCGTTAAATGGAATGAAACTTTACTCACTTAATATAGCAGTCCATCTAATTAATAAATTTATTTGCATATATGTATTTGGCCCCTTACTGTAAGGATTTAAACCGCTTTTAATACCACCGACTTGTTGAAAACTGAGTCGCACATGCATAAATCGCATATAGTTTAAGAAAAGCAAATTCTGTCTGATGTTTCCCACTGTATTTCAGTGGGTGCTGATTTTCGAGTCCGTGTAAAGGTTACAAAATAAGCTTACGTATGAGCTCCATTTACACCTTTTTTAGCTTCAAAACATGCTTGTTTTCATTCCAAGAAAATACTTTTTAGATTTAAAATGATATTTTGCAAACTCTAGGGGTTTAAAGCCCTCATAAATTAAAAGGCGTTTTGGAATAATTTTGGTCATAAAAATTAATTTAAATGCACTTGACATACATTTCATATTTGCATAACCCTTTTTTACTTCTGTTTTCCGTCTGGTTTTAGGCACCTGGATCAAAAAAGACTGACTAGAGGATGACATCTTACGTGATTGTAGCAAAGGGAATTAGCATATTATCTGGGTTTTGTGGAAAAACAGTGTTAGTTCCCTCAATAGAGATTGGTAAAGTCCACTCACCTACGAATTTGGCGTAATTTGACCGCTCACTATCTAAAAGAAGTATTTAAAAAATATACATTGCATTCCATAAAATAAACTAGAGTATTTTCTTCTCTTTAGTAAGGTAAAAACGTTTTTCTAAATTATGGCTTCACATTACAAATACCTTTAAGAATTAGTGGACAAAATAAATAATCAAACTATTCTTACACTAAAAGCGTTAATTTTTTCATAAAATACATCTGTTTAATAACTATAGTGGACACGAGAGTGATCAACGGTTTAGAAATCACATAAAGTTATGATAATAAAATGGGTTTTAAAAGCGCAATTTTGAACCAAACCATACATGTAAAAAATGGTAGGAGAGGAACTTACGATTTAGTTAATCATATGTAAGTGCCGATTACAGTTAAAGTGCTTATTGTTGAAACTGATTTTCAGCTTTCTAAACATACAAAACTATATTTTCCACACGGCTTGCTGCTAACTTTGTGCAATTCTTTTAGCATCCATTAAATACTTGGGATGCAGCCTCTATAAGGAATAACCTTTGATTTGGCTTTATCCATCCGAACATCCTACCAATCTTGGTTTTGCTATGAACCAAAACACGCACAACTTGCCCTGACATTCAACAAATGCGACCGTTTGCCTAATTCTCATGTTAAGCTGAGTGATTTGCACTGTGGACTAGAAACTACCACTATTTTTTCCACAACCGATGCTCCACCCGTCTCTCATATCGCAGTAAAGCCTTTTATCATCAGACTGTGTTTGCACTCTTTCGCAAAACTCCACTAAC